AGACATTAAATTGTGATAATGAATTAATCAAAATGCAATGTCTCTAACCACCATAACAAAACAAAATAGAATCCCTACATCAAATAATAATCAAATATCTCAATTTGACATTAAAAATACTTTATGTAAAAAAAATCAAATGGTCTTGGATTTTTCCTCTTAAAATTTTCGGTCATCCCATATTTGAAATATATCATATTTTATTTTTGACATCAATAATTATCATATAATTAAAATGATGAAAAATAAAATAATATATATATACACACACATTCGGCGCTACATATATATATATATAATAAAAAAAATTTTGTCAAAATATAATTATCATATAATTAAAATGACACAAACAAAATATAATTTTAAAATACATATGTATTTTCAAAATACATACATAGATATATATATATATATATATATATATATATATATATATATATATATATACAGAGAGAGTTTTTATTAGAATAGGATATAAAAAAAAGTACAGGGGTGGGGTGGCCTATATCCCCTACATTATGGCCCAGCCAGAGTATTCTTAAGATGAGTATACAATTAAGAATATAAATGTGAAGGAGAAAAACAAAATATAAGGCTCCACTAGTAGAAAAGCTCGTTATCTGATTCCTTGTAGGTTCCTTGTGGTTGTGCTGCTTGTCCCACCTGTTTGACAGACAGCCTGCTCTGCTCATTACTTGCATTGCTTCATAGAAATTTTTACTGACTTCATGGAATCAACTTGTAGTGTTTTGGACCAATCTTCCGAGACTTCATTCTACTTTGTAGATACAATTTTCATTGTACTCTGCAGATTCTCTAGTGGAATTCTTGAAATGCTTTCCAACCGATTTCTCCATTAAACTCTGCAGATGCTTCATTTGGTAGCCTCTCCATAGGGGTTTGAGTCCAAAGAAGATAATGCGTATAGAAAACCCAAGACATAATATGATCAAGGCTTAAGCCAAAGGAAACTTGCAAAAAGCCATAACGAAAGGTAAAAAAGAAGTAAAGATATACTAAGAGAGAGTAGAATAAAGTAAAGATTTAAGGCAAGTTGTTTTCTTCGATGAGTTGAATTCTTAGGCTGGCAAGACGGTTACTCCTTCTTGGTTTTAAGTGGGTTCCTCCTTGAAATTGTTTGCTCAGATGCTCAAATTTTGCAAGGTTCTTCTTATTCAGAGATGTTTTCCTAGCATGCCAATCCTCCCTACCTTCATTCTCTTCCCCATTATCAGTTTCCCATTCACTTTCTTCCTCTAAGTGTACCTTTTTGTTTGCATAGCCCATATGTTCAAAATCTGAGTCGTACGCTTTGGAGGTGCTCCAGTTGTTATCCCTTTCTGTGTCGGACAGAGAGCAGCCCCTAAATGAGATGTTGGACTCCTTGAGAGCTGTAAGATTAGTAGTGGTTGGGTTGGAAGGTACAAATTCCAAAGCATTTGGTGAAAGGACTGAAGGAAGGGCTAAGGGCAGGGGATCAAGGCTGGAAGGGGGGTCATAAGCTTGAATTGGGGAATCAAAATTCCAGTGACAGACTTCCTGGCTGAAGATTAAGGATGAGAAGTACATAGAACAATCTGGGATATACTCATGGGGGACACAAACCGTAGCATTGTCTAGAAATGGCAGAGGAGGTGGAATAACTGATTTAAGAAAATTTAGAACTATCTCAAATTTGGAAGCAAAAAGGATTATCCCTGTACCTTGATGGCCCTCTGGAATAAAGATATGTGAGATTCCCTGACTTCTTCGTTCAGAGAGTTGCAAGTAAGGGCCTGCAAAATTAGCCTTGAAGCAAATATGTAGTGATCTGTTAGCTTCCCTTTTAATAGGCGAGGTAATTGAACCATCAGTGATGAACTGTTTAAGGACTTGCAGCAGCCAAGAACACGCATCTAATCCCAACCAAAGATTATGTGTCTTCTTCTTGGATATTTCAGAAATACAAATCTTTTTGTTGAAGATTGAAGTAGTAAGCAAAATTTTTTTCTCAAGAATGTCAAAGACCACTGGGATGATATTTCTAGCATTGGAAGACGAAAGGGTTAAGGGTTGAATACCGTGATGTTTAGGACAACCTTCTTCATCGTTGCTCGGTTTGCTGGTGTGATATTTGAGTAGATCGATGGAGTCATGTTTACCTATAACTGCGGAAGCATACGTTTGGAAGCCTGTGTAATGAGACGCACTCTTTGCCTGAGGTGGAGCCGATGAACACGTCCTGAAGTTCGCCGGAAAAGGTGTAATCGGCGGAACCGAGGAATCTCTCCTCTCTCTAGAAACGCCAGCCAT